TTTGTATTCGAAGATGACAATCTGTGTCTCTCTCGAACTATGTATTACGAGTTTTTGTTTTCTTTTGGGGTAGGTGGACAACGAAAGTGAACAATTTCATAGTATATAATGTATATTTGTGCTGATGCATTTGCCTTGGTTTAAAATGGATTTACTTCTCTCTCTTTTGTTTCTTCTTTTTTGTGGAACTAAGAGATTACTTGTAGGCTTCTATGGCATCGTGAGAGCTGAAAGTGATAGGCTTTGACATTAGAAATTAAGTTATAATAATATGAGCACGACCTTTTGGACACATGTGTACTCAAAATTCTTTTTTTTATAGGACGAGTCGGTTTGTTAGAAGGTACGTGTTCCTTGATAAATTAGGGCGGTTTGGATACCTGAAAATATATGTACTTCGAAATATATTACTAATGTAGTTTATTACTACGTAATATATTACTTGTAAATGGATTGTTATTGTTTGGGTAGTATTTAGATGCAACTGAAAAATGCATTATTACTGTTTGACTATGTTTGGAAGAAATATGGGAAATACATTACCAACATTTTACCAACACTTGCTTATAAACTATTATTTCTTTTTTTTTGTCACAAAATTTCACTATGAAATGCGGAATTAAAGTCATCATCACACCATTTCAAAAAAATATTTTCAAATAATAATATCATCACCATTCCAATTTTTTTTTTTAATAATAATTTGTATCATTCTAAAATCATCATCACACCATTTACTACTTATTTCTTTGGCACTTATATGGAATCACTGGTCTTTTAACATGATTAGATTTTGGTTTCAACATGATAAGTCATTGGAATAATATGATTGGAATAACATATTTTTATTGTGATAATAAGCCTTTCAAATATCTCTATATAATTTCAAATAAGCAATAAATTTGTGATATAAAATTCAAATTTTTTATGGTAAAAGTTAAAAAATGGAAAGAAGTTTGATTAGTAAACGAAAAAGTTTCTTAATTGTTTTAGAAAATTTTGAGGCATTAGAGGAAACTAAAGATGTAGGGCTTATCCATACCAAAATAACTGGTTAAAGTAATAAGAAGCACTATGCAAACCGAGCGCGAGAGAGGGCGGGCTGAGAGAGAGAGGGATCACTTTATGCAAACTAGTTATTAGGGCTTAGAGAGGATGGAGCATGTAAACTAAGAGCAACCATGCAGACCCGTTATTATGGCCCATCAATTCTTAGAGAGATTATTATTGCTCAAGAAGAAAGAGAGAGTAGGGCTTATTAGTAGAGAGAAAAGAGTTAGCTCGCATTTTTTTGAAAGATTTACCAAAAATTACCCGTCAAGCGAGCGATAGATTTTTCATTGTACATTGTGCATAATTGGTTTCGTGATTTTTTAGAAAATCTCGGGGATCTCTTTTCATTTCCTTAGTATTAAAAGTATACCCAAACAGTGAAAATGTCATATTTCCTTGTAATCTATTGTCATGTAATAGATTTCCAAGTGCCCAAACGTTCTCTTAAAGTTCTTTTTAAATCTGATTTAGGATTCAAAATACATGCCAAATCTAAACAACCCTATTATTGTGGAGATCTATAGATTTAGATATCAAAATATAATGTGTACTGCACTATTTAAATAGGAATTAAAAAGTAAGCAATTGATAGTATTTGAAGTATTGAAAAATGGGTTATGTTAGGGATAGTATTTGAAGTAATGAAAAATGGGTTATGTTAGGGATAGTATTTGAAGTATTGAAAAATGGGTTATGTTAGGGATAGTATTTGAAGTATTGAAAAAATGGGTTATATTTGAATAAATTGAAAAATGGGTTAGTTGAAAATTTCAATCAAAATTTTGAAGTTTCCTGAAATTCAATTTATTCAAATATGACCCTACAACAAACATTTCGGCTTGATCAAGATTGAAATGAAACAAGTATAAATGGGTATTGGACTCGAGCTTTCCCATACTCGTCGAGAAAAGGTACAAGTATAAGGGTGTGGTTTGTATAAAGCGGCAAACCTTAAACAACAACAATAAAGACACCTCTAAATTTTGCCAAAAGAATACAATTCCAAAAAGCCCTTATGTTGACCTAAACCTCTATTTTCACCTTTAATTATGAAAATTAAAAATTAAAGCTTAAAAAAAAGGTGTAGATCGAACGTATCTATAAACTTATAGAAATTATGAAAATGGATGTTTTAGATGATTTATTACAATATACATTATTTTTATTTTTTATTTTTTTATACCCATAAATCTCATGGTCAAGATGATCAACTATAGAGTTTCTTTAGCATCTTAACAACTTTTTCTATCTGATTTTTGAGGTGCACCTTATTTCTACAATATAAGGTTAGCACTAGTGATATAAGGTTAGCACTAGTGATTTTAGAAATGTCAGGTTGGCATGAAATCGTCCAGTCCAACTCAAGAATCGATCATCCCATTTCAATTCTGTACATATATATATAAAATAACCGAGTCTAGACGGGAACCGGTGGATCCACAATGTAAAATGACGATTCTCTACTATAAAAGACAATATATATCGGTTTTTCGTCGATTCACTATTTTTTCACTTGTTTTCTCGCTTGTTCACTATTTTTTTTGTACAGTAAAACGACGATCCAGACTACCAATTCACCGATCCGAATAAATTTTTATGATGCTTGATCCAATCACCGATCCATTTTTTTAAAATTACCGGTTGGCACCTTCTACAAGCTTCTTTCTAAGTATTCAAAACTATTTTCAATTATTAAAGCTTAAAGATCTGGTTTTTTCCCCAATATTTTTCTCCCAAATTCAAGACGAGGGAGATCGAGACATAGGACGGATGAGGTCACCATCACCTAAACCCACATTAATCACAACAAAACGAAGGTTTGCTTTTTGGGACTTATCCACCATGACTTCTACATGTTTGATCGATAGATGTTTAACCAAAACAACTTACGTATTTATTAAAATTTCCAAAGGACCCTTGTCATTGATTTAATGTGAAACCATTACAATATAGACAAAAAAAACTGAACACATCATCACAAGTGCTTTCACTTGGACAATGTGTTTAAATTTTTTATCTAAATTATAATGGTTTCAATTTTTTTTGTATGTTAAGAGTTGTAAGTTAGTTCGAGTGGAAGGATTTAAAAGACAATGAAATATGCTTAAAAAGACGTGATTAGAAGTAATTCGAAAAGATATAGGAACTTATAGTTTCACTGAGGGATGACTTGTAATAGTGCAGAATGACGGATCAGGATTCGTGTAGCCCGAACCCAATTAATTAAAAAAAAAAAAGAAGTTATAATGACGATGATCTCAATATAAAAACTTACAATGATCATTAAATGTGTGTTATTAATCTAGCTTAAAGTGTTAAAAGTATTTTTTTATATCTGCCAACAAAAGATGCTCGTGACAAGATAAATGATTTAACATCTCCCAACAAAAGATGTTTGTGACAAGATAAATGGTCTAGTACAATTCCATTTTTACGAAAGAAAAGTAGAAACCTCAAAAAGTTCCTAATAAAAGATGCTTTTTAGGAGCTTTACAGGCTTTACAATAGTGGTATATGCCAGCACGCATAAAACTCCTTTGTACAAAATTGGTGGGCAAAGATGAATAAAAGGACCAACAAAACAAAAACCAAACATGCAGGTAGGTGGTCTTCACAAAATTACTCTCCCATACTCCCTTGAGAATTGTTATGTTTTGGTAATTTCAAATGTCTCTATTTATTGTTTTGTGGTTTTTGTATGATTTTTGTATGATTTTTGTATATCAAATCAATTCTAACAATTTCAAATGTCCCTATATCTTTCAAGAACTATTCTTTTTATTGTTTTGTGGTTCCTTCTCAAAGACCATAGAATTGCAACAATTGGAAGCATTTGGGTAGGTTATACTTGTGCTCAGATATAAATTTATAACAAATGCATTTGGTGAGTCGTACCAAGAAAATCCTATTCAAAATAGAGAAAATATCTTTATATCTTTTATTTTTAAGTTTTATATTTCAATAGACTTTAGGTTTCAAAACATATCTTAGGTTAAATTTTTTTTAAGTTTTATATCTTTTAACTTCTTAAGCTAACTTTATCATTTTTAAACCTATTTTATTGCCCCAAACAAATATAAAAAAAACATATCATTTTTAAACAATATTTTTTCTCTATCTTCATGTTATTTTTCCCTAAATCTCTCTACCTATTTTCTCACTCTCTCTCCTCCAATGTCTCTCTCACTCTCTCTCTCCCGTTAGAAAGAGTTAAAGAGAGAGAAATTTGGGAGAATATATCACGTAAAGAGATGAAAAGTTAGAATGAGCATGTCTTTTTCATATTTGTTAGGCGTAAAAAAATAGTTAAAAATGGATAAAATTAGTGAAGGGGTTAGGAGATATATTTTAAATCTTTTGGTCTATTGAGATATGAAAACAAAAAAATAAGGAGTACGAAGGTATTTTTATATGATTTTTGTATATCAAATCAATAAAATACATAAATTAAGGGAAAAGTTTATATAAGGTCGCAACCTTAAAATGTAAACTTACATATGCACTTCAAAAATCCATCGAAAAAGGTTGTTTTAACGTTGATAGACCCTCTAATTGATGATCTCGACATCGAGATGTATGAATGTGTAAAAAAAAAGATTTTGACTCCCAAAAATAATGCATCTTGCATTACATTATCTAGACTCTCTATTTTCAAGATTTTCGTATGTTTATACATCTATATGATTTTATCAATTTGAAATTTAAAATTTAAAATTTTATAATTAGATATAAAAATATATTTTTAAAAAATTTTAAAAATTTTTTACACCAAAATTACATGTTACAATAAAATTTGGAGGTGCGCCTTAATTGGATTGTTTAAGGTTGCAACCGTATTGAAACTGCACCCCACAATTAATGACTTGTTAATACATTCAATTTTGAAGGGTATCACGAGAAATTCTTTCATACTCCAAGGACATTTCAGCAACGGTAGTCTCCTTTTGCAATAAACCGCCCTTCCCCTCTCTCTCTCTGCAACTTCGATTTCCATTCTTTCACTGCAACTTTGATTTCCATTCTCTCTGAAACACGCGTCCAAAGCTCCTTCTCTCTCTCTCTTCTCTTCTCTGTCTCTCGCTCTAAAATATTTGAAAAAAAAAACTTCAGCTTTCTGCTTGGAAGGACTGCTGAGATCGTGAAGAAAACATTAAATTAAGACTAATGGTCAATGCTCTCTTCCGCTACCTCCGCCTACTTTTATCTGCTCGATTTCTTTCCATTTCATAATTAAAGACTGTGTCTTTAAAGGGGTTCATTGATTTCCTCATTGCTTTGGAAGGATAGTTAAGCATTTGAACGGAATTCGTTTGAAATGTTGCCTTGGAATGGTATAAGAATCGGTAGAGAAGTATACAACGAATAAGGGTTTCTTTGATGAGGTACTCGGGTTTCTCAGATTGGTTCTGAATGGAATTAGATTTGAAAGATTGGTTTTGATGGGAGTTAGGTTTTGTTAGGCTGGTTCTCATGTTGTTATACTGGTTTTGATGATGAATTAGAGTCTTCGTCGATGAGCTGCAAGAGGGTGATGGCTTTGTCTCCAAGGTCCGGAACTAAGAGTCTTGATTCGAGCCATAGTGGACCTTTTTCCGGTCTGGTTATATGTGTTACTGGTCTCTCTAAAGGTATGCATAGTCGTTTAAAACTGAGAATTTGAATTTAATGGGTTAGGTAGTTTGTATGAATGTAGTTTTGTATGGCAAATTTGTTGGGTAAACTTCCACTGGGTTCGCGAATTGTTTTTGTTTTTAACTTTATCGTGATAAAAATGTGGTTTTATTGTTATTAAAAGCTTAAAAGAAGTTCAAAATCCATATTTTGGCGTTTGATTTTTCGCTCACAATTTGAATTTTATGTTTTTTCTCTCACTCTCTCTCTCTCTAAAACGTCATGAGGTTCTCTATACATAATTTTTCTAAGGGAAACAGCAAAATTGTTACTTACTTTCTGATATTCTGATATTACCTTTTTAAATATTTCATCTTTTCTTTCTCCTTAATTTTCTGTTATTTGACGAGGAAATGGATATTTAGCACTAAATATTGATATGGTACTTTTTCATTTTTTCACTTTTACTTCACCGTCAATTACCCTTGTAATAAATTATCTAAGAGTTATCTCCTTTTATGGTATACAAATTGGGTTTTGCATTAATATTTTTGATTTTTTTTAAGTATTTTTGGTGCTCTATTATTGTCCTTTGGGAGTTATGGATTATCTTCTTTTTTCTTGTGTGGAAAATTGGACACTTTATTTTTTACGTTGTCATTGATATTCTTATGATTCTTTCGGTGCTTATGGGGACTATTGTCTAGGTTCCAGTATTTCTTGATATGTGGTCTTAAAAACACTAGATGAACAATTTAAAAAAAGAGCAATTTGCCTTGTGCTAATATGTACTTTATATATACTGTTTTTCTCTATTTGTAAGTTTCATTACTTGAATTTTTTCATTCTATGAACATCTATGAGAGGGTGCACTGGATTTTCCCTTGTCTTTTATTATTTATATTTTGTTTAGTTTGGGTTCTGTTTGCTTAGTACTTATATTTGGTGATTTTTTACGGTGTATACTTGATAAAACTAATGGATCCGCTCAGTCCCTTGCATTTTGTTTCTTGTTGTTATTTCTTGAATCCATTTGTCACTAAATGGAAATAATAAATTTTTTTGTCAATTTTTTTATGCAGTTATTGTCTATTATTTCAATTTCTTAGTACTCTGTTAAGTCCGTAGCTGTATATGTTAATTTAACTTTTAAGCTCCAAATAGCTGTGCCCTTATAGTTGTACAGCAAACTCCATGTTAAGTTCTCCTCACATTCTCTAAGTCATGATTTAGATTTTTGAACTATCAACCTTGTTTGAGCTTATAACATCTGTATCAAGTTCCTGAATACATTTAGTTCTGACGTTTGTCGCCTGTAAAGAGATTCATTTTATGTTATTTTTGTTGCATGTGCATCAGCCTTTGGGGATAGATGATTCTTGCTATTGTACCATTTCATGCTCATTAGATGATTAGTCAATGGTGCTCTGATCATCGTCATCCCAATTGATAAAACTGCTGTGTAGAAGTCATTTCCAAGTGCTCCCCATAAAAGAAGAAAACGGTTTTCATGTTTCATGAGTAAATTGTCTGTGTTTTCTCCCACTTTTACCATTCCATTGTATCTTCTCATGTGGAATTTTACTACTTGACTATTAACCTAATTATTTATTATTACACTTTCCCCTTAATGGCTAACTAAAAACTACATTTATTTATTCTTTTGTGTGGTTATTATATGACAGAGGCCAGAAAGCAAGTCATGGCTGCCACGGACAAATTGGGTGGAGAGTATAGTGCGAATTTGCATCCTCAATGCACTCATTTAGTGGTCCAGATATCCTATTAATTTTTATGGGACAGATTTTTGTGACATGCATGCATGCAAACATACAGATATACACACACATATATACATACACACATGTTTGGATGCACATAAGTCATTTGGTTGTTTTGCTTACCATTTTGGTTGGGAAGTTATGTTGGACTATGCACATATTCTTTAACATTGGTTACAGCTTTTGTGGCCGAAAATTTGAGCATGCACTGAAGCACGGTATCAGGAATGGTCTCTCTGTTGTAACTCTCAGCTGGTTCATTGATAGTGTCAGGCAGAACAGTGAGTACTATCTGCTCGATATATATCCCCCCTAACCTAGAGAATGGCTTGTGTGCCTCTCTCTCTCTCTCTCTCTCTTTCTTTTTTTGTTTTTTTTCTCCCTTTTTTTCATTACATTGGTTGCTGCAAATTTCTAGTTGCACTCAATATAGAATTTTCGATCTTTTCTTTTTGATGGGACAGACTCAGATAGTAAGATTCCGTGGTGATTTTCTTTATAAAACAAAAAGGTTATATTATGATTTTCTTGAAAACAAATATTCAATTATAATTATATTCTTATCACCTTGGAGAATGATGGGTTTAAGGTAATGCAATGCGCATTTGATTTTGTTAGCTTGTTTGCTAAAGTTTTACTCCTTTATACTCTTCGGTGACTTAATGACAAGGTATTGGCTTATTACACATTTGTTATCTATTGAAAGCACAAACAATTATGGAAAATGGTTGTTTTATATCTTTAGTGCCTTTTACTTGATTATTGCAGGGAGGATGAGTGAATCACATTACAATGTGAGAACCGTAGTACAATCCGGTTTTCTAGCTGGGGAGTTGAGTCGGCTTGTTTCAATTGGAGACACAGATAAGTCTTGTCTCCCCAATATTGTATATGAGGGCATGATATCATCTAGTACCATTTCAGAAACCCAGCTTCTTTTTCCTGGGAAGGAACATTGCAAAAGTGGTTCTTCTATTCTTGCCGGGCAATGCATATATATTGATCCAGATATTTCACCTGAATTGCATCAAAAGGTGAGCAGCAGTGTCATTATGCACCCGACTGTTTAATAGCTATGATTTTTTTTAAAAAAATTAATTCTAGATTTGAATTTTCAGAGGTTATAACTGCAAAATTCTATTGGGGTCTGTTAGTTTCTGTGGTAAAGCAGTCATTGCAATTTCTAAGGTGTGGTGTTTCTGATCTATCTTGGGTTTGATATTTAAGTTGTGGACAGTTCATTCAACTAACTGATTGACCTTGAAAGCTAGATTTTAGTTGCAGAGACTATTTCATGCTATTGTCACCCTTACGATATTATAATCTTCCTAAAAGATTGCACTTGTCCATTGGAGGGTTAATCGCAGTCAATTGTTACCCTATTGATATTCTAGGAAGGCTCGAATCCTCTTAATGGTTTTCTATAGATATAGCATATTAAAATGGGCAGAGTCCCTTATTTTGCTACCAGGCTCTGCCATTTATTCTATATGAAACCTTATATGTTCTCAAAGTTGGTTCTTCTTCAACAAAATGAAGTTATTGCGTGGCATGACAAGCAAGGTTTTAGCTTTTCAATTACGAGTGGTTATATCATTTTTCCAAGTCTGGTCTTTTGGGAAGCCATCAGACTGAATCATCATTCTCCTCATATATTTTATGTTAGATTTGTCTGTCAGTCTCCTTACCGACCACAATGGAGTGGCTATTAATGGGCTTCTTAGGCCATCATGCTAAGGCCCAGAAAATTATGATTGCTTAAGGGCCGCATCCATATTGGGTTTGATTGCTACATTCATCCATATTGTATCAAAATGCACAAGACTAGCCTGGAGCTATCGATAACATTATTAACCTTGTATTTACAGAAGTTTCCCAATGCTTTTTTTGTGTATGGGCTTTCATGTGATGTAGTTATTCTCAAGAAATCAAATATGGAAAATGAAAGCACTATTTAGACATGTATTGAATATACGAATATCCAAGATAACAAATGTTACTTAATTTTATTTTGTGGTTTTGATACTTCACGTTTGTCTACATCAGAAAGCAGATTAATTTTTATGAATTCAGAAATCTTCATTTTTTATTCTACTTAGCACAATATTATGCATTAGTTTGTATTCTCTGCAGTCTTTTCCTGTTTGGAGTCTCGCATCAGGTTCTGCAATCTTACTATTATAAAACTGAAAAATTCTGATTGGGTACTCACAATCTGCTTTAACTGTCAGTCTGTTTGACATCTGATATCTGTTGTGAAGTATGCTAGCTTAGTGTCTTTCTTCTTTTGAGATAATAAGGAACTATTCTATTTCATGCATCCATGTTCTGGAAGACGACTATGTACACCATCTAGTCATATGTAACATGTTGGAAAATGATACCCCCCGCCTCACCCCGACAAAAAAAAGGAAAAAAAAATCTTGTTGAAAAGTAATATTCTGTGAGTGACTCATGTTGATGCTGGTATCTTGGAGAAAGTATGCTATAATCAAATGGATCTTGGAGAAACCAAAGTCTCATTGGGTGGTCATCGCAATCCATTGAAGCTGGATGGTTTCGGGAGAGAGAATCCTTGATGGTGGGTATGACTCTCCTTCCACTGTCCATCATTTTAATGGAAATGATGGCCAATGGTCAGTGGTTTTTCCGTATTTATTTGGATTACATTGTAACTCAAAATTATCTTAAATATGGTTGCTGGCTCTTTCTCCTCGAGGATAATTACATGTTTTTCACCATGTGAGTTTTTTCTTTTCAAATTTTTTCATTAAAAGAGTTTCAGAGCTCTTTTCTACCCATTTAGCATTGATGTTTGATTTTGCAACTTGATGCCACTATTTGACACACTTTAGAGCTTTGTGCAATTTTGCTGTAGATTGTCGAAGCAGGGGCTAAAGAAGGTGCTATTTTTATAGACAAGTGGTTTATCGGTTGCAGTGCTACTCATGTAGTTTGTGAAGGGAATTTATTGCGGAGATATATTGGCTGTGCTAACCATCTTGTTACTGTAAGTGTGGTCTAATGCAATAAATTCAATATTAAAGAGGGGTGATCATTGCAGCCCTTTTCCTCTAATGTATTATTTCCCTTTCAAGTTTCTAGAATTCTGTTGTGAACTCTTCTGATTTGAAATCTCACTAATGCTTGAACCAGCCACTCTGGATATTGAAATCAACAAAGGAGAAGTGTCTACAAAGGCTTGTTCATTTCTCTGCTGACCTAGCTAGGCAGGTCACTGTGATCCTTGATAATGCCCACATTGATCCTCCAATGCAGGTCTTTCTCTATCCTACTCAAACTGTTTTCAAAGTGTTTTGCCAATGCAATCATTTTGAGGTCCTTTGGTAAAATTTCTTTCTGAAAAGAGAATAACAATATTTACACTCTAATCGAATAAACTATTGGAGAACCAAATCATACTGAATTGAGGCAATCAATGTATGAAATGATGGAACACAATTTTGGTTTTTTTCTTTTTTTTTGCTTTTTTTTTTGGGGGTTGGGTGGGGCGGTGGGTCGGGGTGGGGGGCAGAGAGAGCGAGAGACCCTCCATGGTGATGATATCTTGTTCTGGTCAGTTTCACTCTCTCCATCACTATCCATAATTTCATTGATGAACGATCCCTAGTGGCTACAATTTTCTAGTCTGTTTAATTATACAGACTTTCCCCATGTTAAATATTTGTTCCATGCTTAGCTTTGTTGATTAACTCTTTGGCAGGAATTACCTTTTGCACAAAAGCTTTCTAAGCCCTTGATACTATCCTTAAAAAGAATATATGTAAATAAAGTTTACTCATGATAAAATTAGAATTTCTTTAGTTAGCCTCACCTTTTACTTCTTGTGAAATGCTAACAGGTGTGGTTTGTATAAGGTGTCAACCTTAAACAATCCAATTAAGGCGCTCCTCCAAAGCTCAATGAAAGATGTAATTTTAGTGTCGGAAATTTCAATGATGACCTGAAAAACTACTTTACATCTAATTATGAAATTTAAAACTCAAAAAATGGTACAGATCAAACAGATCTACGAGCACATGAAATCTTGAGAATGGACGGTCTAGATAATGTATTACAAGATGTACCATTTTGGTACCTTAAAATCCTTTTTTTTCCCCCCTGCATCCTTACAGCTCGAGGTCGAGATGATCAGTTAGAGCCGTTTTCACCATTAAAACAACCTTTTTCTGTGGATTTTTGAGGCGTGCCTTTTGTCTACAATTTAAGGTTGCAACCTTATGTAAACTTTTTCCAGTACTAAATTCTTTAGATGGAATTATTGACTAGTTGTTATACGAGGCATCCCTGTGTTTCATCATCTGTTATCTAATCATCATTTTTCTGCTTTGAACTCTTTTCAGGATGCGAAAGGTCATGGTTCCATTCGAAATACCCCACTTTCCATGGAGCCTTTGACGGAAAAAAAGTTACCGGAGCATATTGGAAAGAGGCAGAAAATGATTGAACAGGCCAAGACTGGTGTTAGAAATAGGCGTGGTCACCGGATACAAGTCAGTGACAGTGACATTTTTGAGTTTGAGCCTTTATTCTTTATTCTTTTTTTTTATTGTTTTGAGTTTTCCCTTATATTGGTAACTGAAAGGCAGTTCTCAGATTACCTGTATAGATCATGCAAGTGGTCCAGAAACTCTAAATTGGGGGCAGTCCTTAGACCTTTCAATTTTTTTATTTTTTTAAATGATCAATTAAACCTCGATTATGCATCCTTTTTGCTGTCACTGTCTGATATTTAAACACTGGATAAGGTTAAAATAGTCATTAAGAAATAAATGACGGGTCCAGGTTTGTCTTGATGTCTCAAGTTTGTGGACCACAGACATTACCTGTGCCGGTGTTCAAGGTACCACGTTGATATTTTCCCCATTTCGGATATTGTTCTCTATGCACTATATTTGTTTGTCTGAGTAATCTATCAATCTTATTACAGTGACTTGTGCTGGGTCTTTTGTGAATGTAATTTCTGGAAAGGTTTAAATTTCACTCCTTTATGCCTTTTAAGATGCAATCTGCTTGGCCTATTTCTCTTTTGTTTGTGGATATGTAAACTTTATTCAAAATAACTATTTATGATGAATGAAAGGAAACTAACTAATTGCCTCAATTCTTAAATAAATATTTTCTTCTTGGAGGAACATCTCTTCGGATTTCCCCGAGACGTGTATTAATTCTCTTCTTTGGGTTGCAGTCTGCTGAAGCAGTAATACGTCCATTAACTCCTAGCACCCTTCTGGATTCCATTTGTTGGTCCATTTCAGAGCCATCATTAACTGCTCGAATCTTTATGGACACTTCTGCAAGCCCATTATTTGAGACTGGAACAGAAGATGCAGTTGACCATGCTTCTCTCTTCTTCGATGCTCATGGAGATGGAAGGGAGTCAGAAGCATCGGGAGATGATAATATTTCCCGACCTCTAAGGGAAAGGTATATTCTTTTGTTGTTTTGTAGGTCTCTTAGGGAGAGGTAATCGGATACACCTATTTTGGGTTCAATTGAGGACTCCATCTTAAGCCGTGTGTGACATATGAAGTTCATATTTTTGTTGAATAATCAGCTGTTCAAATTTAGTATTTGTGTTTCCATATTTCAGAGTGATTTTGGCCTAAGATGAATTTGAAACATCAAATTTGGACATTGTTTCAGTTAAAATTTGTCCACCAACATTAAATCAGCAGAGCTTTGGATTTAAAAATCAGAAGAAATCCCATTCGGAAAGAAAAAATGGCAATTATATTATTTTTTTGTTTTGACTAAATATGGTTAGGTGGAAAGAAGATTGAGTTTCTCCCATATTTGGTGAAAATTCTGGTAAAAGATGTGTTTATGGAAAAAATTAAAAAATAAAAAGTCTATTTCTTAGTTCTGGCCAATCTTTGATTAGGTGGACATCAGAATCTGTTTCCAAAATTTTGGTGGATATATGGGTAAAGTGCGAGGTTGTGGATATCTAGTTTGCTTAAGTAAGTTTGGGATTTTTTTTCTGGAAATTAATTCCCTGCTTCCTCTCCGTTATATGATGTTAAATGCAGTGAGAAGAGAGAGGTCATATTTAAGGGTGCATTCCTTACCATATTGTTCCCTGTGGACCGATTTGGCGAAATGGGGCCATCTGCAAGAACATTCTTCTGTGCAGGAGGGTTCTCTCGCTTAAGGATTTTGGATCACATATATGCATTTTACCAGGTATGAAGTTATGAAACCTAATATCCTTGAAATCGGACTGTTTGGTTCAATGCAGATGCCTGTATTATAATGGAATATAAGTTTTGAGCAGCATCAGCATTTTATTTTGGCTTTTTGATGGCTTCTAAGTTGCTCGGTTAAGAACATAATTCATCTTTATACTTTCTCTTTTCCTGGAGACCAAGTTGGTTGCTAATGAATTTTAAAATTCATTAGCCATTGCAGGTGGTGCTTGCCTTCTGATTGACTAATTAAATGGCCTTCTCATTGAATCCTGCATACGCACATAGTGTTGAGTATTGTACCATGTCTAGTATATATGTCATCTATAGTTATCCTTTAAATATATTCAACTTTCAAAGAGTACCCATAAGTTCATCCTGATTCTGTGCCATCCAGAAGATAATTCTAACCTTCACCTTTTAAACTTGGTATTCGTACCAGCCACCTTGAATCCTAAACTAAGAATTCACGGTTTGTGTTGGCAAGATTGTAAATGAGCATTTGTTCATTAGTATATCTTTTCATTTTTAGAAAAATGGGAGGAACTTTTCCAATCTGAAACCCTGCTCTTGCTCTTCTACCGTTAGAAATTTGCTTTTCCCACTGGTCGGTTTTCTTCTAGTTTTGAAAAGTCAGCTCTACAAACATGAAAGTTCAATCATTTTGAAACTCACACTCTCCTCTCTCTCTCTCTCTCTCTCTCTCTCTC